AACAGTTATAATAAATTGAAGTAGACCCCAAGCTTTTACCATTGGCTCAGGAGCCACCCTGCTTCAAACAAGCAGAGTGTAGCTAATTATGATGTCCTGTGGCCCAGTTTGAACTTCAGTGCATAATTCCAGTGAGGCAGCAATCAATAGCAGGACTTAAGAATGAAACCACAGGGTTATAAAACTGATACTACAAGCAGTTCTGAGGGTCGACCAAGATGGCACTGTCCTTGGAGGCTTGAAGCCTCAGCTGATTCATCTCATTTCCAGCCTGATGGGTGGATTCCCAGCTGTGATGTATTAAAGAGTTTAAGAACAAGACAACACTATTTGCATGTGATACCACAGGTTGCACAACATACAAGCCTTAATGGCAGTAGATTACTTACTGTCAGGTTCAGTATTAACACCTTTAAAAAGCAAGAGAAGGCTGTTGACAAGAAGCTGGTGTCACCTTGGAGATGTCACTAATTATACCATGTAAACACATTCATAAGTCAAGGTGAAACCATAAACATGTCACTGCCTGGCACTGTAAGCTCCATCACCTTTACCAGTGCAGGAAACATTCACAGTGCTGCAGCAAAGATGTCCTCAATTTGCGCCCGACAGACAGAAACATCCAAAGCAACCTCAGTGCAACACAGAGCAGCAACATTTGATAATTCCAACTAGCCACATCCTTGCAATTAACCCTGCCCAGAACAAGAGAGCTGTGCCGCTATCGGGCTTGCCAGACACAGTCTGCAAACAATAGCCGAGCCTGAGTTTAAAGTCATCATTGTTACTGCGGTTACTGACCTTGTTACTTCTGTCTAATGTGACTGCTTACTGAAAATGTCATTACATTGAAAAGCATTGTTAGAATATTCATTAGCAGTCTGTCACCTTCCTGGTTCATGATGGCTTTGTTATAATACTGCCCAGTGCAGCATCCTCATGATTCTTGTTGTATGAAATCTAACTGAATTGGTATTGCTATGTAAAACACTGTAGGTCAGTATTCCATAATTTATCAATCTGGGTTTATATGCAACCTTAGCCTACTTCCTGGTACAAACCTGGTAGGAAAAACAGCTGATCTTGATTGCTTCTATATTATTTACCTTTTTAAACATGTTAGGAGCACTTTTACTTGCCTCCCTAATCATTTTCTTCCCCTTTAACTCTCACACAACACTCCATTATCTTAAAGTAGCTCAGTTCTGTTAGGAGCTGTGACAGCAAAGCATGGGTGAAAAGACCTGATCTTTTATGGGCACAACCGACAGGAAAGTAATGGATCCATGAATAATTCACCTGCTGCACACTCACACTATGCTGTCAAAGCCAGCTTGACAAACCAAGCTTGATATGGCACCCGTACTACCTCATCTGGAAACTACTTCTCCCTCCCTGTCCAGCAAAACACAGGCAGGATTTAAATATGAGCCACAACTGATAAAGGGCATAAAGCAAAAACATGTTCTAGGAAACAAAACAAAACCTCTGGAGTATCAGTGACATTCCATGCTTCAAGCTGCAGGTCTGATGTCTTTGCAACACACACTGTGGTCAGATTCACCACAGGTTGAGGGATGGAGCTCTGATGCTGAAGATTCAGTCCTAACACAGGATCCACACACCAGATTGTTTTAAAACTGATAAAAAAAATAAGCGAAGCAAGTCAGTCAACTGGATAACAGCATCTACAAAACAAAGTACATCACTGTAATAATTACCCTCCCTGCCAGTAGAGAGAGATCACCCAGCCCAACCAGCTGAGTGCTGTGATTGGTCAAAGAGCCGGTAACCAGGAGAGAATACACAGAAAGATTACCCAGTAGGCCTGAGCTGCTGCTTATAGGCACTGGAAGTGTTGTACCTCTCAAGACAGATGCACCAACAGACTAGGCTCTGGCCTCCAACAGTTGTGGCTCTCACAATGTGCACTATGACTGGCACTCTGAACTGGGCAAAGCCACATCATGCCTGAAGGCACAGACAGTACCCTTGGTTAAAATGCCAGACATGTTTGTCAGCAAAACCATTCAAGAAGTCACCACAGCTGTAAAAATGAATAGCCCCGTTGTATTCTAAATTCACCACCTAAATTAGTAGTTTAACTCTAAAGAGGTGATTCATATCCACTTGCAGCATCAATTCAACATCAGTTTATATTGCCTTGTAAACTTTTAAAGATGTGTTTTCACATGTAAGCATATCACTAAGACAGCAAAGTCCACAAAGAGAATGTGACTTGTAATTCTAATGTTTAACCAGGACCTTTTCCAAATGATATACCATTGACTTTTGCTTATTTAGTATGCCCAAACTTGACGTCAGCCTCTTTTGTGCTGCCGTTATGCTTCTTGACTGCTACAGCGCAGATATAAAAAAAAAAACCAACCTTTTTGCGTATGATTTTCAGTTCACCCATACAGATGTAATATGGAGGCATGCAATGGTATGAACCCTGAATATGTAAACAGTGCCTTTTAAAACATGCTGTATAGGCCTATGATGATGAAGCATCAAGTGCACATCACTGGCAAACTGACGTCCAGGCAAATTCTTCGTTGATAAAGGCATAGCATGGCAATAGTAAAGGCGTATCCCTTTTTGTTAATGAAAATTGCGCCCATGGAATTATCAAGTGCTGGAGGGCTCACTGTCACTAGAGGGGCAATTAAAATAATGACAAACGTGGGTTTGATCCAAAATGTAATGTGCTGATTATAAGAAAACAAATAAAAGTACTTTCTGGTCCTTTTAAATATGTAGTTGAATCTACGGTGCTATTATTTGCCACTGAAGGCCAACAAAAAACCTTTGGTTTGCATATAATTTAGCATTTCCACTGTCACTGATGATGTTTTGATGTTACCATTACCCGTGTTTCCTTTTTCTTAATGGGAGAATATTTCCAGTACTCTGTGCTACACAGAAGAGTTATACAGCCAGCTGGTCAGCAAGAAAATGTTACGGTAGCAACAGCACTAAACTAGCCCGCTAGCCAAGGCCGGCTAATCCGTCAACTACCAGCTGGCCTAGCTTACTAGCCAACAGTCTGTTATTAAAGCTGGCTTACGCTTCATGCTAACGCGAAGTGCTCATAGTTAACAGCTTTATCGTTACACATGCACAACTACTTGTCGTGACAATAATCCCGCGAGTAGCATCCAGGCTTGTCAGGTTAAGCTGGCGACATTTTAACCTGTGCCAGGCGATCTGCTTGTGGCTTTGTTGAATGACAGTTTACTAGCCACGACAGGGCAACTGTGAACAGTGAAATTTTACGGTAACAGCAATTGGACTGGCCTTTTGAAGTATCAAAATACTGCTGCGGCGTGTTCACGAAATGAGGACAGAATGGGTAAAAGATTAAATGTAGTGAACTGACTGTTTAGGTGGCACCAGAAGTTTGCAAGAGCTAAGGGCCGGCGGAACAACGCAGCGGTGAACAGGTCAGCCCTTGCTAACGTTAGCTAACAAGCTAAGATGCTAACTACCGTAGCTACAGACAATCAAAAATGGCGTACTGGCGACCGTGCCCGAAGGCTCTGTCATATAGCTAGCGAAAGCCCCTCAACAAGAGATAACTTACCCCGATAACAACGGTCTCCTCCCCTTGGAATTTGGGAATGTATTTATCGCCTCTGGTCACCTCTGAGCTGTTCAGGGGCCTAAAACGGCACATCACTTTGATGGTGCACTCCGCCGGGTCGGCCATCTTCCACGGTTTACGAATGGAAATTCACCAATAAAATAAAGTATATCCTGAATCCCAGGGGCGGCCGTGGGGGACAAAAAGGGAGGCCGAGCCCCTCTGTCCCAATCTCAGGGTTTAGAAAGAGCGAGTATCTCTCGGGCATTCAAGAAAAATCCTTGGTTTCCTCTCAATCAGTCCCCTCTCCTGTTACGAGGCCATGATACCGGTGGATGAGCTGCTGGCTACCTCGCCCCTCCTGCTGCTGTGGATGTGGATCAGCATGACGTCATCCCGGCGCTGCCCTCCTCACTGTGTTTGTGTCGAGGTGTTGAAATTCTCAATTACCAGTGGACATCAACAAAAACACTAATCAACACCTACAACCAATAATATACTTGTAAATGGTGCTCAGAGGTGCAAAGACAATTTACTCTAAGACATCTGCTTGTTTATTTTGTGTAAGACAGTGGTTGAATGTCAAAGAACATTTAGTATTTTATCTTGAAAACAGCAAGTTAGTCTGAACTGGTTTTGCCACATTTGAAGAAAAGGGGCCTTCTCTGGTCACCAGGGGCGTACATAAACGCATACACAACCAGTAGGTTTGCTATATATCAAAGGTTACATTTTCAATTTTAACAGGACAGTTTGATAAATGGTGACAAATTAAAGGAAAAATCTGAAAAACTAGTCGAAAAACTTCAGTAATGTTACTACTGATTTGAGTTCACTTGTCAGCTTTGAGGGAAGGGTCACTGTAAATCAATATAGCGTTGTTCTGAGTGATTGCCTTTATCCTGTGATGAAACATTTTTGTCCTAATGGGAGTGGTCTCTTCCATGTGGACAGTGCCCCCATCCACAGGGCATCCACTGAATGTTGATACATATGAAAATGATGTGACTCATATGCTATGGCTTTCACAGTCACCAGATCTCAACCCGGATGTTAAATGAGATGTTGGAACAACATGTCCGACAGCATCTCCACCACCATCATCAAAGCTTTACATGAAGGAATATCTTTTAGAAGAATGGTGTTCATCACTCCAGTAGAGAGATTTGTAGAAACAATGACAAGGTGCGCTGAAACTGTTCTGTCAGCAGAAGGCATTTTATGTTGGGTTTTCCTTTGATTTGCTGTATATGGAGAGAGAAACAAGCAAAATTAAAAAAAAAAAGCCTTCAAAAGATAAGTCATCTTCTGTCCAACTTTACCTGTTAATCAGAAAGTCTCACCATGGTTGCAAAAAGTAAAAAAAATTACAGTACAATAAAAACACATTAATGAAAGTAAAGAAAGTCACTTTCGGCTTTTCCCATTTAGGGGTCACCACAGCGACTCGTCACACTGACGACTCGCATGTTGACATTTGGCACGTGTAAAACAAAAAAATTGGCCTTATAGAGATATTTAATTTTCACTTGTCCTTAAGGACCAGCTTAAACACAATATGAATGTACTAATGAAAGTGTGATAAAGCTTCAAACACTGAGAAAGCTGACATTTTGCTACTGTAGGTCTCCAGTTTTATCTAATCTGCTTCAAGGGATGTATAATGAACACTAGTGCTTTTGTTACATCTGAAAAAGGAAGTAACAGTAGTCTGTGACTCAGCTGTCTTCTGGAAGAGCTGCAGCTATGAGACCTCCTCCTAAATAAAAATGCATTATGTCTGACCTCACTCAACAGATGTCACCATGGAGCAAAAGCCATGGCAAAGTGCTAGTAGCTGAACTCATTTTCTGGCCACTCCCTGAACCAGTGCGAGATATCTGTTTTCATGTGCAAGTGCTCAACTATTTCAAAGACCAGTTCTACTGCCCCACACACTTGTGTGTTCACTGAGGGAGCAAGAGGGTGTGGTGGTGCTGTGTGAGCTAACAGGGTAGTCTGGTTGTCACTGAGCAACAATTTCCCAAAGATCACATTGTCTACAGTTCATCATCAGTGGGACTGCTAGAATAATAGCTTGTGGTTTTTAGTAACATGAGCTGGTTTCACACTTACCCTTCTTTATGCCAGGTTTTTTAAATAGAAATACAGCTTGAGGTGTTAACTGAACTATATACAGATGGTTGGCAAATTAAAATACAATTCTGATTGAATAGAAATAAAAAAATGTGCAGGGGTCATAGATTAATCTGCAGATTATTTTCTCAATTATCTGATTTATCTTTTTATTCAAAGAATGTCAACAACTGGAGAAAATGCCGCTTCTGACATTCCAGAGTCAAAGGTGTTGTCTTCAAATGCCAACAAATCCAAAGATAAGTTATTCTTATTATGTATAACAAAGACAGTTTTTATTACTTAGCTTTTAGTTTTTAGCCTTAAGCTCTAGAATGGCTGGTCATGTATTTATATATAGTGCTGTGCGTGATTACACTAAATGAGTGATGTACATTGAACACGCTCACTTGTCTGTGAACGGGTGAATGAATGGATCAGTTTGCAGCTAGTGAACTTGAATGAGAGCAGGAAAGGCGTCAGTCACTTGATATCTAATATTGCCAATATTCTGTGAGCTGAAGGAAGTGCCCATATCACGAGTCAAACTTGAGTATTTTCTTTGTCCAAATATTATCCACCCTAATGTCAGTGACAAAGAGATTATACTTCCTGTGACTGCTTCACAATAACAGCTTTTCACTGTTTTGATAACGTATTGCTTTTAATGTGAAAAACCAGTTAATGCTTCAGTATTAACAACCCCGGTGAAGCGACCACATTAAACAGAACTAGAAGCCAGGCATGTTGTGTCTATTTGTTAAGTCAGGGACAGCGTGTAAAGCTGCTGATAATGTCGAGGGTGAACTCAATTATAGGGCCAGACGAGTAAAAGCAGAACACTGACTCTTTAATAAGAGCACTGGTAACAAACAAACTGTACACAAAGCAGGGTAGAGTCCATAGCTGCAATGACACCGTAATAGGAAGTGGTGTCAGAATAAAAGCATGATATCGGAAGCAGAAGAGGCAGAATCATGACATAAACATTACTGGAACTGGAAGAGCTGTGTGTTTGTGTCCTTAACTACTTAAGTAAATTTATTTAGTTACTCAACACCACTGAACTTAAGAATGTATAAGTACATGAAGAGTAATGACTGGGGGCTGGGGATGGATGGGTGGGTGAAGAGTCTACCAAAACATTTTTTCTACTGCTCAGAGCACCTTATTTAAAAAAACTGTGAATTATGAACAAGAACAAATTCATTATATTATATTATATTATATATTGCATGAACTGAACCTTGAGCTATCTCCTGTGAAGCGTGAACTTGCACAGCACTGTTTATATATGACTTATTGGTAAGATGCAGCATGTAGAAAAGACACGATAACAGCAGTGACTATCAGTTTTTAGTCCTTTGGAATAACAGAAACACAGAGCAGAAGACGAGATGAATAGAAAAAGAAGAACAACAAATCAGAGGAAGGTTGGAGACAGAGGACAATGGGCCAGTAAAAGAGAATATATATTGGTTGTTGCAGGAAGTGTGGTCGGCCTGGGCAATGTGTGGAGATTTCCTTATCTCTGCTACAAGAATGGTGGAGGTGAATCATGAATGTTAAGTATTTACCAGAGGCTGGATTACAGAATGGTACTTTGTCATTTCTATGGGTTGACATACAGTATGTTGCTATTTACCTACCTAGGTGCCTTCCTGGTTCCATATGGTCTGTTGGCTGTGGTGTGTGGGATACCTCTGTTCTTGCTAGAGACCTCACTTGGTCAGTACACCCAGGAAGGTTTCATCACATCTTGGAGAAAACTATGTCCGCTGGCACAAGGTGAGTTGATGAACCAAAGTGTTCTGTCAACAAAAGAGAAGACCAGAAATGACATTTTGTTCTTGTTTTCATGTTGATTAAAACACCACCATGGGTTATGGAATTTTATTCCTCAATAGGTGCTATGCTTTGTGTCTCTTCTGTAGGAATTGGAGTTGGACAGCTGATTATTTCACTCTGTTTCTTCATCTACATTTTAATTGAAGCCTGGGCCCTCTTCTACTTGGTGTTCTCATTCAGATCCCAGCTGCCCTGGGCCAGCTGTGACAACACCTGGAATACAGGTAGGGCCAATTTTTACTTGTTAGAAGTTTAAAAAGACGTTGGATGATATGTTACAGTGCATCATGATGATAACATTTTACCCACTGCACAGTGTGACCATGATTTTAGTTGTTTATTAAAACAGTAAGCCACCAGGTCATAAGTGGTAAACACTTTCACACTCCAACTCAATAAAATCTTTGCTTTTCTCCCCAAATCTAGCTAACTGTCTTAATCTTCAGGCTTCCAATACATCTCATGTGACAGCAAATCAGACCAACTCTGCTGCAACTGAGTTCTGGGAGTAAGTACAAAATCCAGGTTATGTTGCTGTATTACTACTTGACCTTTTATACGTGAATGCACTTTCTGTCTCACCAGTGACAATGCTGTAATATACTGTATATACTGCTAGATCAAGGATTTGTATTACAAATACAGAGGCCATGTTCACATTACAGGCTTTAATGCTCAATTCTGGTCTTTTTGTTAGATCTAATAATTTATTATAATTTATGTTTATAATTGAGGTGCATTCAGCTCTGATTTGAACACGGTTGAGGTCCTAAACTGCCACAGATGTGCAGTGTTAACCGAAATGTGAGTCACATACACAAAAATACTGGAATTACAGAGTGTATGCCTCTGCCAACCAGTCAAATTCATCCATGAAAAGATCAGATCTGGTTTCACCTGTATGAAGAAAAAATCAGATTTGAGTCACTTCATGTAATGTCAATGTAGTTTAAGAAAAGCCTTGTCTGTTATTTAACTTTTCCAAATTCTTAATGGTTTGCTGTGTTGGTTGTTGTTGGTCTATTGTGTATCTGTAATATTCCCCATCAGACGTCGGATGCTGGCCATGTCTGGAGGCATTGAGGAGCTGGGCAGTGTGAGATGGGATCTGGCCTTGTGTCTTCTGGTCAGCTGGGTGTTCTGCTACTTCAGCATCTGGAAAGGTGTCCGATCCTCTGGAAAGGTCCTGTGGAAACATTCAGAACCTTGATCTGTCTGTGGTGAACACATTCATCAGCTTCCTACCAAACATTTTTATTCATTAATTTCATTTTCTTTTTAGGTAGCATATTTCACAGCCACATTTCCCTATGTGATGATCCTGATACTGCTCATCAGGGGATTGACTCTACCTGGAGCTTGGCAAGGGGTTTACTACTACCTGTATCCAGATTTGAAACACCTGGCTAAGCTGGAGGTAGCCTGTTTATATGACCCTGCGTAATATTCAACTCAGAGTTACTGATACAAAGAGATGCACTGAAAGTTAAACTGGGACTGAAAGTACTCCTATATCTGATAATGATTTTCTGACACTACAGGTCTGGATAGAGGCAGGATCTCAAATATATTTCTCCTACAGCCTGACTGCTGGAACTCTCAACGTTCTGGGCAGCTATAATGACTACAACAACAACTGTTACAAGTATGTGTAATTCAGAAATCACAAAAACATTGTCAGTGTCCTATTAGACTGATTCTAAGACATTTTTGTTGTCACAGATCTTGCATGAAAACATGTGGGTGTTTAACATTTGATGATTTGATGAAGATATGGAAGACTATTCAGTGCAATAACTGAATCAATATGTCATTTACATTTATCTACATCCATAAAACTTCCCAGTTTTAAACAAGGGTTTTTCACTCCACCTCAAAAAATTGAAAGGCTATTCTTTGCATCCATACTCATTACTTTATATACTTTAGTGTAGTTTATATTTATCTACATTCATAACAAGAGTTTTTCACTCCACCTGGACCTGTAGGGACTGCTTTTGGCTCTGTCTGCTGAACAGTGGGACCAGTTTTGTTGCTGGATTTGCCGTTTTCTCCGTACTTGGGTTTATGGCTCAGAAACAGGGTGTTACTGTCGACACCGTAGTTCAATCAGGTACATACCAATATTAATTTAAATGCAATGCTGAGGATCTTTACAGCAAACTAATCACAGTTGACTGTAATGTTTGAGTCCAAATCTAAAGAAGTATATCAACTCTCCTCTTCAAACCACAGGACCAAGTCTGGCCTTCATCGCTTATCCTCAGGCAACTGCTATGATGCCTTTGCCCCAGTTCTGGACTGTCTGCTTCTTCCTGATGCTCGTTCTGCTGACAGTTGACACACATGTAATAATATTTGTCATACCAACTGTTACTTGGTAATAGAAGCATTTTAGGTACACAGATAGATTATATTGTTTGCTAATTCTTTGTCCTCAGTTTGTCATAGTGGAGAGTGTTATCACCACAGTGAGTGACTTGTTTCCAAAGCTGTTTCGAGCGCCTGTGAGACATGAGATCTTTGTCCTCCTCATCTGTTTGTCCTCCTTCCTCATACATTTGACCTTGGTCACTGAGGTGAACAAATATTTTCACAAAACAAAGAAATCTTTCATTAAATGCAATGTTTTCCATATTATTTATATTACTTTAATATCTCTTCCTGTTGCAGGGTGGAATTTATGTCTTCCAACTCATTGATTTCTATGGCTCTACCAGAGTCTGTCAGAATTTTATGGCCATATGTCAATGTCTGGCAGTGGGCTGGATATTTGGTGAGTAAAAGTCACTTGTCAGATTAACACCGGTTTTGCTCAGTGGTTACTTCTTACTCATATGTTTCTATCCTACAGTCCGCGGGCTGTAGGGTTCAACCACGGGTGCCGTCTGATGTTTATTTTTAGGGGGTGACTGCGGTTCAGTTGTTAGAGCAGTCGTCTCCCAACCGGAGGGTTAGACGCTCGAATCACAGTGCCTGCAGCCCACATGTTGAAGTGTCCTCGGGCAAGACACTGAACCCCCCCGTTGCCCCCGATGGTTAGAGCCATCGGTTGAGTTGGCGCCGCAGATGGCTGCCTCAGTTCTGTACCGAAAACAAATTCCTTGTGTGTAACATACTTGGCCAAATAAAGGTGATTGTTATTAACTAAAGCCTGGCATCATTATGCATTTTCTCCTTGTCTGAGCCACTCTGGTCAATAATGAAAGTTTTTAAAAAAAGGTTAAAAAAAAAGAAGTCATTTCATAAAAAAACAAAACAAAGATGTTTAATGATGTTTCACAACCTTAACAATTCATTCAGCAGCTATAACATGAAACTGACCATAACAGGACATCTGAACTTCCATCAGGTGCTGACCGCTTTCGTGACGTCATTGAGGACATGACAGGACAGAGACCATCTGCTTTCTTCAAACTGTGCTGGAGATACATCATTCCTCTGCTGTCACTGGTCAGTCTGAAACATTTATCTCTGAGGCTCTGCCCACTGGCTGCCAAACACTTTGGATTAGTTTGATTAACTCGGATGTTTCCTCAGGAAATCTGAGAATGATCTGACAAATCAATACTGCTGGATTTGGTGCTGCTGGATATTTTATATATTTAACATCGAGGATTAAGTTGATTTAACAGTTTGTCTGACTTTGAGCTCTTCATTATCTAAAGTATCTTTTGCAGCAGGTGTCTAAGATCAGTTTGTGTGTAAATACAGTATAGGACCCGAAAAATGAATGTAAATCCTTTGATATAATGATACAGAAATGTTTAATTAATATCATTACATATTATTTCTCTATCTCAAACATTGTCCCCATAACTTCACAGATTTCCTTCATCTTGTATCTGGTTGAGTATAAACAGCTCCGAGTTAATGACTGGTATGTTTACCCTGACTGGGCGTACGCACTAGGATGGACCATGACGCTCTCCTCTGTTCTCATGGTGCCACTGTGGGCAGCTGGACAGATGTGTTTGACAGCAGGAACCTTCAGGCAGGTCAGTGTTTTACAATAAGTCATAAACCAGGAGACTGACAAATGGTTTCTTATTCTGATAGGGATGTTTTTTTATTTTTGGGTTTTTAATACTTTGTAGTTTGTTTTGTATAGGTTTTTGTTTTATTATTATCTTGTATTGGTGTCCTTTTGTGAATCACTTTGGGCTCCTGTCGAGTTGTAAAGTGCTATATAAATAAACTATTATTATTATTATTATTACTGTAGTGTTGAAAGTAGAAGAGATTTAAATAGTTGTAAATTTAAGGTCTCATTGGTGCTGAAATGAAATAAACTAAAATAAATCAATCAACATTGTTTACAATGGCTCTTTTAAGCTATTTGTCAAGAAAAACCACCAAACATCTGATGTCTGATTGTTTATCATCGCAACCTCTTGGTTTATGACAGCCATTTGGAAGAAACAAGTAATATGAAACATCACCTTGGAATCCGAGATCTTGTGATTTTTCTGTATTGGTTTCACTTTTTTGAATGGCAAATAAAATAAAATAAACAATCAATAATGAAGGAGGTTGTAAACAAGTGCCTATATTGTCTAAATGTCTATCTTCAGCCCTTGTGTTTCTTGCCCTCTGTGACCATTGTTAAAATCTGCACCTCACTTCTCTCATGCTCCTGCTAATACAAGGTTATAAGGTTATATGCGTTTTTTCAAACCACTATGGCTCATTTCATAAATGGACCGTGGAGGTTTCCTGTGCAGTTACAACCCAGGATGGGAGCAGAGCTATTAGACTTAGGAGGTAAGAGGCCATGTTCTCTAGCACAGAAAGTGCACGACAAAGAGTGAGGCAAAACCAGGGTTATCATCGGTTTGGCATGCCACCCCCCTGGGGACCCCTTCAATGTACACCTGGTCATTTTCATAAGACAGTTGTTGTTTTGCTCGGTGGAGCGAGAAAGTGGTGGTCGTAGACCCCCGGGTCCCAAGTGCTAACACCTTTGCTGGTACTATTTGGAATGGCATAAGCAATGTCACCAGAGCGCAGCCTCCCTGCCAGTCAGGTGGGAGTTTGGGCCGCAGTTTAAGGTCCCCACACAGCCACCAAAGGTCAGACCTGGAGATCTTCCAGGAGGAGGAGTTATACAGGGAACAAATAATGACTGGTCTGACATGTTTCATTAGTGGGTAGCTTTGTTGATTTAAAGAGAGAGAGAGCACACTTCAGGCCTCAAGGATCAATCTAATCTAAATGAAGAGGTAGCTAAGAACAGTCTCAATGCTGCACATGCAATACAGTTGAATACATTCGTCGCTCTAACAGTATACATTACCCAGCTGAACCAGTTGCCCCCCAGTTGGACTGTCCAACTCAATCGCCTCAAAGATTAGCACTGACTATATGGGTTTATTTAGAGAAAATATTTAGATAGAATAAAAATATTTATTTAGAAAATATGTGGGGATTCACCTGAACAGGACAATTCATCGATAGTTGGAATTTGACATTTAACGCTGGGTTTTTAAATGTTTCTTGTAAGCCCAGAACCTTGCACAGAGACCAGGGGATTTATTTTAACATGAAATACAGTGTCCTTGACATAGGAGGTAAGCTGCATTACAATATAAAGTGGGCACTAGATTGAACCTTCAGGCAAAACTTACGTACTTACGTACGTACTTGTGACACATTTTGATACTTTGATACATTCTGGCAAGTTAAGGCTGTTAGCGAAGGTTAAGCCGTTTTTATCACGTGCAAATCTGGAAAAAGCTATCCATGCTTTTATCACAGTGCGTCTGGACTATTGTAACGCTCTTTATGCCGGCCTGTCGCAATCCTCTCTCCAAAAGTTGCAATTAGTTCAAAATGCGGCAGCCCGGCTGCTGTCCAACACATCAAAATTTGTCAGGAATGGTGTGCAGCAATGCCAAATGGTGTTTGTAGTGAACTCAATTATAAGGCCAGACGACTTGAGGTAGAGACAGGATCTTTTACTTGCTGTAACCAAACAACCACTTCATAATCCAGGATCACAATCAGGTTACAAAAACAGACATCCGAGGTCAGGAACAGAGTGTCAGGCAAGGTAAGATAGCTAGAGAGTCAGAGCTGGAGTCTAGAACAATCTGGCAGCGTCCTCCCATGAGGACGCTGCCTAAATAGAGG